GCTATAATATCTATTATGTGCAAAAAGGGGCTAAATTCACATTACATACTAACATTACATCATAAAATACACTTGTAGTTTAAAAATTCTACAAACGACAATTATTGCGCTCTTATTCTATTGCTCTCCGTCTATTTGGCACTCGTTCAATGAAGTCTTAGAGTCTTTAAATAACTTAATAATAAAAACTTTTGAATGAAGGTCCATTTCCTATGGAGATAGAATTGTTGCATAATTCCAAATAAATAGATTATGATCCACAAATAAATGTAAAGAGATGAACAAAAATCAAACACTGACAAGTGAATAGCATGAGAGCCACAAATAAATGTTAGAGTTTCACAAACATTAATTAAATTCACAGATAAATAAAATGAGATTTGCAAATAAAAAACATATTCACAAATATCTTTATATGTCACGAACACAACTTTGCCTGGCATTCATTTGTGGATCGTGTCCTGTGCATTTGTGAATTGCTTTCTGTGCATGGATCTCTGCGAGCATTTCTGGATTTTGAAACATTTCTGGTGTCAAGACACTGACAATACACAAATGCGTTGAGTCCACCCACCGTCTGCTCAAGCCAATCAGACAACAGCCACACTTCGCTGACCAATCGTAGCACGTCTCAGGGCGGTCTCATCCTGAAATAACTTCATTCATCTGCATTGGCTCAAATAGGAAATATAAGGGTCATACAAATTGGTATATTAAATGATGTTTAAAATTGGATTTTGTTAGACCATTAGACTTTGTATCAAGCCAAGCCACAGTATTATATTTTACATGAATCTGAAAATGCCAGAGAAACAGTGCTTTAAATGCTGGATACAAAGGCGTTATGGAAGCGTAATGATATTCAAGATGGAAAGAAAAGCTTCAATAAGTAACTGACTAATAAATAACTGGATTCGAGTTGTTTCGAAAGATGCGAGTTTGTGTAATAGGTTTTTCAGTCAAGCCGTTAAACTGATGTATATGAGCGGCTATGGGGATCTAACGATGTATAAAGCATTCTAAATAATATCTTCAAACATTAATTAAAAATATTACAAAATTATTGCCATTGTTTGGGGAGGAAAAAATAAACCTGGGTTATTTTTTTTAAAATGTGGAGCAGGTGTGTTGAAAATAAATGCATATAAATGTAAGACGAGATATTTATTGGTTAAAACACTTGATCACGCAAACAGTATTTCATATTAATCAGACTTACTAGTTTTGATGGTAAAATTTTTGTGAATGTTTTTTATTTGTAAATCTCATTTTATTTATTTGTGAATTGAATTCATGTTTGTGAAACTCTAAGATTTATTTGTGGATCTCCTTCTATTTATTTGTCAATATGTTGAATTTTTGTTAATCTTACATTTATTTGTGGATCATAAATGTACATAAATGTATCATAAATTATTATCACACAATAATAATGCTTTGGTAAATCATAATTATTACATAAATTACATCAATTATTACATTAATTAAAAATTTATTAATTACAAAAAAAAAATAATAATAATAATGAAATTGATTAATGAAATTAAAGCAATTGTGAGTCATAAAAATTCTACTTTTTGTCACAATTGTTTTTGTAATACTTAGTTATTATATCATAATTATGATTTGTTGTAATTATGACTTTTTATCTTAAACCATTTTGTCACAATTATGACTTTGGTAAATCATAATTATGACTAAGTTAAAAAATATATTTTTAAAAAATCTTTTTGACTTTTTTTCTTATAATTTCAAAGTTTTATCTCATAATTCCATCCATCCATTCTCCAAACCACTTGTCCTCTCTAGGGTTGTTGGAGCCTATCCCAGTCTCAGGCCGTTGGCGGGGAAAAAACCCTGGACACATGGCCAGTTCATGTCATAATTTCAACTCTTTATCTCATACGTATGCCTTTTTATTGCATAATTTTGATTTGTTAATTATGACTTAAAGGCACAATATGTAAGATTGTTTTATTAAAATATCCAAAAACCACTAGAACAGTGTTATATATTCAATATATACAAACAGAACCAAAACACAAAATAAAGTCCAGGCCTGGTCCTATGTCGTCACTCCTCCTTTTATCCTTCCGGAGCTCCTCTGTGGGACTCGAGACCGGTGAGTGGCGCTGGTGTCACGCATTAGCATTTACTCCACCTGCCTCGCTCCGTTCCCACGGCTCTTGGCCGTGAACATGAGGCAGTATGTTACCTCAAACTGTTTTTTACTATAGGCTTTTGATATTAAATTCATTGGACCATGTTGAAGGGCCCATCACCAACTACATCTGTTTAAAAAAAAATAATTTTTATCCATTTTTGTCATGTACTGTATGTTTTAGGTTTTAAATTTATAAAGTGAATGGACTATATGTAATGTTTGCACTTTTTTGAGTTGTTCTGTCCAGTGGTCTTAGACTTACACTGACACCTAGTGGGGTGGAGGTAGCATCGGGTTTTTAGTTTTCAGCTGATTGCATTATGCTAATAATGGTTAACTCTAATGGCGTTAATAATAATTTCATAGAACGGTGATGCATACTACCAAGAGAGCTGCTTTAGATAACACAGCTGCATTTTAATATAATCATCTAAGTCCAAAAATACATGATTAACATGCAAATCATTCTAAGAGGCTTGGGGAGTTTAAGGGTTTAGCTTCAAGTACCTTCATAAAATCTACAGGCGCATTTAAGAACATTCAACATTAACCACAATGCCTACTTAAGACCATCAAGGTATTTCATGAAGAAAGGCTACAGGGCTCTAATGATGAATAATGCCATGAATAATGAATAATTCTTCATTAAATTAAATTATAAATAATTTCTAGACCTTTTTATTTAGATTGAACATGAACTGAAGGGAACATTTAGTCTAATCCACACAGAATTCACTGAGGTGACCTTATTAAAAGAGAGAAATAGGAGGTTGCAGGGAGTTTATGATGATGTGAAGCTGCAGTAATATAAAAATAACCTGCTCAGTGTGAAGAGAAACAAGAAGACTGTCTGCCAAATGTAGTCTGCCAGAGATCTAAACGTTTTGTCAGTGTCAATGCAAATAGCACCTGCATATTAAATCTGTCTCTTTTAGGAAATAAAGGACAAGCCACATCACAACCACAGAGTCCAGATGTTTCCTAGATCATTTATTAGCCCACAATTAGAGTTCACATTGACACTGACTGCTGCAAAATGTTAATGGTTGTGTTGTGTTTTCAGGACTGGGCAAAAGAGGAGTGGAGTGGAGGCTGTCCTGTGAATGTAATGACCCCTGGGATGCTAACATATTACCACCCGAGTCTTCGAAAGCCCTTCGGCAGGTAAACCAGTCCACTACACTGGCCAAATCCCTTCATGTTCAACAAAGCCTATTTCAAAGCCCCAATGCCTCATTTCACCACATTCTCTGTCCTTCAAACAATAGTTCACAAAAATGAAAACTGTGTCATTATGTACTTACCCTCACATTGTTACAAACCCAGTGGAATTTTTCCATGGAACACAAAAGGAGTTTTCTTTTTCCCAATATAACGACAGCTCACAGAGCTGACCATAGCTGTCAAGCTTCAAAAAAGCACCATAGAAGTAGTCCATTCGACTCCAAGCCTGTATTAAAGCTCAAATGCCTTCTGAAGACTTTGAATACAGAACACGAGTCATATAGATTACCTCTACGTCTTGGAGTGAAAAAACTAGACTGAAAAAAAAATCCAGTTCTCTTTGTGCAATAAAAGTTGCTCACATCTCATTTTAGTTCATTTTAGTTGTGATCAGGTCTTAGTCCACTATCCATTTTTGTGGTGCCTAGACCACTAAATAGTAATAATAATAATAATATTAATAATATGTACAGTAGTCCAGGCACCAAATACATTTTAATAATTATTACATTAATTGTTATATAAATTGTAATAACTACTATTAGAATATATACTACTACTAATAATAATATTAATATTATTTATTAATCACTGTTACTAATAACAACAACAACAAAAGTCCAAGCAACATAATTAATTGTAATAATATATTTAATACTAATATCTATGACTTGCTGTTAATAATAATAACAGTGTCCTGACAACAAAACAATTTGTAATACTTATACAATAATAATAATAGTTTATTATTATTATTATTATTATTGCACTTTTTGTCAAACATATGAACGGACATTGTATGGGAAAGAGGAGTGT